AGGGAAGACATCTTTGCGAAAATTTACAAAATAAAAAGTATATTGTATGTATGTGTGTATGAAACTGCCAGTATCAAATCAACTTTCACCTACAAAAACGACATTCTATGTAGTTTTTGAGTCTGATATTGATCCATAAATAATGATTATCTCTTGGTAACAAGACTTTAATTTGGTCTTATGGCTTATCTCCATATTGTCAAAATTTCTTATAGTGAACAGGTAATAAGAGAAAATGCAAGTTATAAAAAACAAAACCACTGCAAATGGCTTGGAGGCCAGTTCACAGAGTTCAGATATAGTCTCCTATTAAGAAACTGATACTACTTAATAATGTTCTCATGGGTGCTCAGAAACCAGCATAGTCCATTTGGACACAAATGCAGGCAAGCCTAACAAGGCTGTGCCTTGCCTACCAGTTAAGCAACATTCATGGGCACACAGAACTGCTGAACTGAAAACAAAAGCTAACACCTCAACATAAGCCAAAATCACAGCAAAGACAATGAACGTGTCTTCACAAATGTTCCTTCTTAAAAAGAAAAGCGAGTGGCCAGGGTGGAGAGTGACCACGGCGGTGGCGCCTCCAGGAGTGGTCCACGGCGTCCAGCCCCGCACGAAAGATACCAAGTTGTGCCCGTACAACCATATAAATAATTGATAACTGAAGTATCAATATAAAATGGACATTAACAATGATGACAGATAAATGCAGACGCTTGGGAATCAAATACTAGGTGAAACACTTATAAGAAGTTTTATAAAAAAGGAAATTAGGAAGTTCTAGTATTCTCCATGGCTGAAGCTCAAAGTCTGAAACCCTGATTGCCTAAGCTTTATTCTAGATCATAGCTCCAACTCCTTCAGGATATAAACAAAAGAGATAATAATTCCACAATGACTAGATCTTTGGTTATACAGTTATCAGAGACTATTACACACCATTGCTGTACTCGAGGCTCAGCGTTCTCAGGCAGTTCAAGATCTTGAAAGTTTAGGCAGACACCAGAGGGAAGCACTAAAAAATCCAACTGGATTTGTGGAAAAACTCCAGAAGAAAGCTGATATAGGGCTTCCATATCCACAGAGAGTTGTTCAGTTACCTGAGATTGCATGGGACCAATATACTAGTAGCCTTGGAAACTTTGAAAGAGAATTTAAAAAGGCATACTAGGAGAGTTAAACTAGTTTTTGATAAAGTAGGTTTACCTGCTAGACCAAAATGTCCTTTAGATTCTAAGAAGGATGGGGAGTCCCTTTCATACTCTATGTTGCCTTTGAGTGATGGTCCAGAAGGCTCAAACAGTCATCCTCAGATGATAAGAGGATGCCTGTGTAATGATACCAAACCTGAAACATTTAACCAATTGTGGACTGTAGAAGAACAGAAAAAGCTTGAACAACTACTCCTGAAATACCCTCCTGAAGAAGTAGAATCTCAGCGCTGGCAGAAGATTGCAGATGAACTGGGCAATAGGACAGCAAAACAGGTTGCCAGCCGAGTGCAAAAGTAGTTCATAAAGCTAACCAAAGCTGACATTCCAGTCCCAGGAAGAACAGCAAACACCGCAACTGAAGAGGCATCAGATGAAGAAAGTATTCCTATTATGTATAGGAACTTACCTGAATATAAAGCACTACTACAGTTTAAAAAGTTAAAGAAACAGAAACTTCAACAAATGTAAGCTGAAAGTGGATTTGTGCAACATGTGGGCTTTAAGTGCGATAACTGTGGCATAGAACCTGTCCAGGGTGGTTGGTGGCATTGTCAGGATTGTCCTCCAGAAATGTCTTTGGATTTTTGTGATGCTTGTTCAGACTGCCTACATGAAACAGATATTCACAAGGAAGATCACCAATTAGAACCTATTTATAGGTCAGAGACATTCTTAGACAGAGACTACTGTGTGTCCCGGGGCACCAGTTATAATTACCTTGACCCAAACTTCTTTCCAGCGAACAGATGACATGGAGGAGCCCACTGTTTACTAGTCCTCTTCAATACATAGCAATGGTATCATTGTTCATTATGTACACAGTATGGAAAGATTCTCTGCTTTCCCTGAAATGACACTCACAGTCTGACAGCTTCCTGAGTGTTCTCGTCAAGTACCACGCTGTACCTTTGCGGCTCTAAAACACTGTTCAACAGCTGAACACTCCTGGTGAGCAAAGGGTTTCCCTGGGGAATTTTTCACCATTCCCTTAAAGCCTTTTTAGGTGGTGCCCTTCAATGGATGAGATGGAAATGAGAGCACACATTAAAGACAATAAAATTCCAAAGGTTTCAAAGAACTTGGTCATAAATATGATAATGAGAAGATAAAGTATTTATATAAAAAACAGTTCAGGAGCTTTCAGTTTTGTTGTGAAATAGTTTTCAGCACAGAAACTGACTTAATTAGACAAAGTTTTAACCAATGATGGTGTTTGCTTCTAGGATGTACACTTAAAAGAACTCACTGTCCCAGTGGTGGCCACCATGACCTTTACTAAATCAGAGCTGCTTAACCATATTGATATCTAACTTCTTTTTAACCACAATGAACTGTCTTTATTACCAACAGCGAACCACTACAGGAGGCAACTGTGGCAATACCTCCTTAACCAGCTCATGGTATGTGAATGTTATAAAATTGTCACTCAGATATATTTTTAAAACATAATGTTATATAAGATGATCATGTGATGTGTACAAACTATGATGAAAAGTGCCAGTGGTAGTAACTGTGTAAAGTCTCTAATTCACAACATTAATCCCTTTAAAACGCACAACCTTCTGACTCTGTGTTTAGAGTTGTCAGTGCAACTCATCAAAGAAAACTGCCTGATATAAAAATCATATATATGGTAATAATTTCCCCTCTTTTGTTGTCTGCACAAGATCCATAAAAGATTGTATTTTTATTACTATTTAAACAAGTGATTAAATTTAGTCTGCGTAGTGAGCAAGAGTTCACATGCATTCTTTTATACTGCTGGATTTTGTTGTGCATCATTTAAAACATTTTGTATGTTTCTTCTTATCTGTGTACACAATAAGTTCTTGAATAATGTTCATCTGTCAGGAGAACAGTGAGAAATAAACTATGTGGAATGCTGTCTGTTTATATTTTTTGAAAGAAAGAAAAGCATGTTTATTGCTATTCTTTAGAGTCCTTTGGAATGGGTCACTTCTTGCAAGATGATAAACACCATGTTCATCAAATCAAATGTTTCTTGTGAAAGGAATAATCCTTTTCAGAAACACAAGGGTTTCATCCAGAGCTAAACCAATGAGTACAGGCAACAGAAAGGTAAAGCCATCAGAGTTTATGAGAAGGTCTAAGAGTAGAAACTTAAAGACTTTTTTTTTTTTTACATTGGGGTGAACAGCAAAAAAGTGTAGCTAGACTGGTCACGTCTCATTTCCACTTTAATTCAAAAGCTCTAAGAACTGAAAATCACTTCTTGCTTGGCAGGTTTTGTGATGTTTACTAGGCCTTGAACAGATCAATGGCTACCTGGTACAGAGACAAACAACATCTGATCAATCAATGGCTATCTGGTACAGAGACAAACAACATCTGGCTTCTAAGCTGACATTCCTGGGGGAAGAGGAAGGAAAATATAAATTGTATAGGTAAAGGGGCCCTTCAATTGGATCCGGTTCTTATCCCAAGAATGTGAACTCAGATACCTTACTAAGAATGAAGGAAAATGGAGGGGATTGTAACCATGGCAATGAAACAATATACGATAGGATGAATGTAAAACTAATGTTCCCCCATGTACCCATGTAAACTATCACATAATTTATAATAAAACTTTAACAAACAAAAAAGAATGAAGGAAAGGGAGTGGGGAGAATGTTACAGATGACCCACTACGACTCCTACTTTGTGTATTTCGGGGAAATCATGCAAAAACTAGTGGGCACAACTGACCAGGGTAAAATAATTCACAAAGAAGTACCATACAGCAGGTTCTAGTGGGAAGAAGAGAGGTGGCTAAGAGGGGCTTAAATCTTATAAAGAACGGAGGAGTTCTAAGCTGATCATTGGAGTCCTGGTGTGGCTCTGTGAGCTAATATGTCAGACTGCAAAGTTGTTTGAACTGCAAGGTCGGTGGTTCAAGCTCACCAGTTGCTCCTTGGAAACCCTATACAGGGGTGCAATGGGTCGGAATCAACTTAACGGCACTTAACAACAACAACAAAGGTGATCATTAATATATCGCTCATCTACGGTACTCTTAAAAACAGTCTCCTCGTTCCTATATCAACTGAGGTCCCTGAGTCACTGCCCCAGAAGCTCAAAGTGCAGAGTCCCTGATAGAACAGTTCAACTAAGAGGACCCCACCCCTGCAACCCACTACCTTCAAGTCTATTCCAACTCTACAGGACAGAGTAATGCTGCTCCAATAGGGGTTCTTTATGGGAGAAAAGAGCCTCATCTTTCTCCTACGGAAAGGCTGATGGGTTTGAATAGTTGACTTTGGGGCTAGCAACCCAATGCTTAACCCACGGTACTACCAGAGACCCTGTATTACTTGTATGGGCATCCCAGGAGCCACAGCACAGAACCAGGCACATAACAGATACACAAACGGCGGCTGCATGAGTGCTGTTCTAATTTCACTTCACTTTTGTATGAATAAGTATGAATCAACATGAAAGAAGCAAATTCCTGCTTTAGGAACTCCAAGTAAGACAGTTATGCTCCGGCTAAGAAACTGGAATTCAAGAAGGTTTAAACCACACTCCAAGGATATCTGTGGATCTTAATAATATTTCTAAGGCACTTTTACGTAAGCGGCAAATCCAGAAAATCAACATAAACATCATACAGACTAGTGTAATGGTTCTATTATAACTTTACCATCCAGAAGACACTGCACAGCTCCCAATTTACACAGATTCAAAAAATCAGAACCAAAAGAAAGAAGTTAGCCCATCAGTCACAAGTCCCAAAGCTAGTCAAATGTCACTCTGCCTTTAACAAGAAGGCAGTATACTTACTCTCTGATTGGAAGATAAACTTATACACCCAGATGACCAGTAGGGTCCCCACCACACTCCAGGCAATCAGCTGCCACGGCTCATACTTGGTGCAATGCCCATTGACGTAATTCTTGGCTTTTGTAGAGTATACTTCCAAAATCTCAAGGTAGGGCTCAAAGGCCTTCTAGAAATGCAAGAGAAAATAAGAAACATTAGTTTCCAAAAGAGAAACAAAATCTGTTCGTTCTTTGTGCTTCAACTCTCATTTTCCAAGGCCCAAGGCCATTCACCACCAGATCCCATGCAGCCATCATCTGATCATTCTCTAGATCTGTCTAGCTTCTGCCGTGAGTCACACCAGTACCCACTGCGCTAAGAGCTTGACAAGGGTTTTCATCTTATGCCTATCTTGGGCTAGACCATCATTTCAGCTCTCACACACATCCAGTATTCACTGTCCCACTCTCTCATCTCAAACTAATCCTCTCGACAGGAATGCACTTTCTCGCCTATGCTTTATTTGAATCATTCCCATCCTCTAACCCAGGGGTGAACTGGAGTGAACTAAAAAAAACAAAAACAAAAACAATGTAGACAGGTTGGTCATGTCTTGTTTCTACTTTAATTCAAAAGCTCTAAGCACTGTAATGGAGTCCTGGTGTGGCATTGTGGGTTAATGAGATTGACTGCAAGATCAGTTGGAATCGCACGGGTGGCGGTTCAAGCTCACCAGCTGCTCCTTGGAAACCCTCCACAGGGTCGCTATGGGTCACAACCGACTCCACAGCACTTAATATGCACTGTAAAGGGCCAGATAGTAAACTTATTTAGGCTTTGCTGGCCATACTGTTACAACTAAGATCTGCACAAAAGCAGTCCCAGGCAATGCATAAACTAATGAGAAAGGCTGTGTTCAACACAATTTTATTTATGGACACTGTACCTTAAATTTCTTATCAGCATCACATGTCATAAAATCATCATCTTTATTTTTAATTTTAAAAATGTGAAAACCATTCTTAGCTCATTATGTTGTTGTTGTTGTTGTTGTTATGTGCCGTGGAGTCGGTTCCGACTCATAGCGACCCTGTACAGGGTTTCCGAGGGTGTGTAAATCTTTACGGGAGCAGAAAGCCTCATCTTTCTTCTGTGGAACAGCTGGTAGTTTCGAACTTCTGACCTTGCGGTTCGCAGCCCGATTTGTAACCACTACACTACCAGAGCTCCTTATAGAACGCACAAAAACAGAAGCTGGCAATACTGGCCTGTAGGCCATAGTTTGTCTACCCCAACTAGAACACATATTCGTCTGTAAGACTCTTAAAGTTACTTGCTGAAGTATCTTAATGTTACTTGTATCCCTCATAATGCCTGGCACAAGAACAAGAGGAAGAAACAAATAACATCATAAACTAACCAGAATATCCCATTCATGAGAATTAATCTCTTCCTGTAATTTTTCCCTAAAAGAAGCCACTTGTGTCTCTACATAGAGTTCTAGAGTTTATCACAACCAGCTCCCCCACTTCCTGTAGTTTACTCATCTCTTTCTTATCTGACTATGTGATTAAACTCCTTGAGGATAACTCATATCAGAGTGCCCTGGACAAAATAAGCTCATTTGATAGCTTGTTATTCATTCACTCATTTCATATTTATTAAGCAAGGCTTAAGGGACTAGGCTGGAAAATGTTCCAAGTCCTCTGCCCTTAAGTTAAGTTTACCGTTAATTGGAGCATGTGTGTGTGTGTGTGTGTGTGCATGTGCATGTGTGTGTGCATGTGTATACATATTCACATGCAGACATACACATGCTCACACATAAACAAATCATTACAGTTCTCCAGGGCACATGCTATAGAAAAGCTAAGAGAAAGCATTGAGGGAGGCCTATCTAACTCTACCTGAGAGGAAATGGGGATGATATGACAGAGGAGAAAAGAAAATGCTCTAAGCAAAAAAATTAAAAGAAAGAAAGAAAAATAAACAAAAGTTTTACCAGGAAGAGAGACCACAAGCAGCATGCATACAGAGTCTAGTACTTCCAAGAAACAGCAACAAGTTCTATGTGGTTATAGTGTAAAGCTGCCTGAGGACAGAGACTGTGTCTGTCTCATCCAGCACACAACAGAGTGCCCGGCGCACAGTGTGTACTGAACATAGACGTGGACGTGGCTGACGGTGAGAGAGTAAATGAGCAGACATACCAATCAAGAGACCCGAGACTACAGGGGAAAAAAATGACCCTAAAAATGCACTGCACAAAGCACGGAGAGAGGGAGTATAAATTGATAGTAGCTTTTTATAATTTGTTAGTATCTGTTAACATTCTAAATGAATACTGCACTCATTTTAACCCAGAGAAATCCCACTGTTTACTTGTATGTGTGTACAAGCAGACATGTTCAAGAACATTCATTTTAGGAATTCCTTATCAGAGAATAGGGAAAAACTATAAACAGCAAAAATGTCCATCAACAGGGGCAAGGTTAGATAAATGATGGCATGTGTATTTATTTCATGTACCCATCCTATGAAGCATTCAAAAGACAGAATTACATCAGCTACATAGAAAAATTTCTAAGACATAATACTGAGATTTTAAAAAGGAAATTAGAAAACAAAAGCATGAATTGCTAAGTAGGAGACAACTTTTTGTTTTGTTTTGTTTTATTTATTTATTCAAGGTAACTTGGTGAGACATTGACTAGAAGGAAGACAGAGGTCAGAGACAAAAATTTTAGCTAAGCAATTGCTGAAATAGCCCTGGGGAGAAATAACTGGGCTTGATGTTAAGCAGTACAATATTAGAAATTTTTAAAGTATATAGATATGAAAAGGAACCCTGGTTGTGCAATTTGAACCCACCACCAACTCTGCAGGAGAAAAGATCTGGCAATCTACTTCTGTAAAGGTTGTTGCTGTGTGTCACCAAGTTGATTCAGACTCACATTCTAGAAAACTCCATGGGCAGTTCTACTGGTTTGCTATGAGTCAGAACTGATTCAACTGCATATTACAACAGCATAGATTTGAAAGACAGTTTTGGAGATAAGCAAGGTTTGCAAACACATTATATAAGTACAGAATTAAGGAGTGGGAAGAGTTAGAAAACTACAGAATTTCAAATTTGAGAGAATATATATGACACAAAGAATGACGTGATATGGCTCTTCTAGCCACAATCCCTGTAACTCCCACCAAACTGAACCACGCAAATAAGGTATATAAACTAGTTCTGCCATCCCACTGGGTTTACAATGAGCCAGCCCTGACACAAGAACAGGAAATCTCATGATCAAGAAAAGAAAGCGAGGGGTGGATGGAACACCTCCTTTGGATCCCAAGATCGCTGTATAGCGAGCCTCCTCGATCCAGGAGACAGGGAGCTATGACACCGGAGGAGTGGCAGAAGCAGAACCAAGAGCCAGTGCAAAAGCCAGAGTGGTGGGCTTCCCAGCACATGGAGCGAGTGCTTACAGTGTGTGGTGCCTCCAGGCAGACAGGAGGGAGCTAAATTTGCTGAACATGGAGGCCAGAGCTGAGTATCTTCAAGGCTGAGGCTTACAGCAGAGTGAAATACCCTCTGATGATTTATTGGCAGTGCTACAGGGCTTTGTAACAAGGCAGATGCCAAGGGGTCATGTGACTGAGAGACCAAAGGCCAATGAGAAGAGCACCTGTGGGCACGACTGAAAAGATATGCTCCTGGCTGGAAGAACTGTATCCTGAGCATTTCTGATCCTGAATTGTAACCTGTCAATTTCCCTAATAAATTTCATAATCGTGAATATGGGCTGTGAGTTCTGTGTGACCACTGCAATGAATTACCAAACCCAGTAGAAAGTGCCATGGGTGGAATGTTGGTGTCAGAATTGGTAAGAAGATTGGAGGGTGGAGGCATGTCTGACCTCTGCCTCACAGGAATCAGCCTTGGGCTGATACTGAATTTGACGCTCCTTCCCTCCTGTGAAGTCAGGAGATGAAACATCACCCCCATGCCATTTTCACAATAGGTAAGTAGTGTCATCATTAACCATGACAAGACTAAAAGAGGTAGTAAAGATGGAAAAGATAGAAGAAATTTTGAGGATATGATGCTTGATACTGGTTTAAGTTACGTTTCTACTGAATATCTGTATGCAATGCTCTAGTAGGAGTGTGAAAGCTTAGGAGGAGGACAGGTGCACAACAAATGTTTGTCATAAACATTTATACCCTTAGCAATTATGCTGTGGTTTATATCAGGTAATTAGCATTAGGCAAGTATTGAGTTCCCTAGAGGGCCATCCATGGAAACACAACTAATCTGCAACCCCACCATAGTTCTTGGTGGCCATTCCCTAGAGCTCACGGTTGCTATCAACAACATCAGTCCTACAGAGCAGCAGCATCACTGGTCTGTCGTTATCAAAGGTAGTTCATGGTTTCCATCGCTATAGAGGAGTCCTGGGGTGGCACTGTGGGATAAGCACTGGGCCACAAGGTCGGTTTGAACCACAATGTCAGCAAGCAGTTCAAACTTACCAGCCACTCCTTAGAAAGCCTATACAGGGTCGCTATGAGTCAGAACTGACTTGACAGCACTTGACAACAATCACTGTAGAGAGTCTTCTAGTGGTAAAGTTGGGATCAAGCCATAGAGCTGAATAGTGTGTAAGAATGGAATGACAATAGGACAATAATTCAGGTCAGCTTTTCTTCTGATAATGTTGTTGCATGCTGTTGCATAATTCTACTCAATCCTGTAGGACAAAATGGAACAGCCCTGTCCCTAGTGTTTCCCCTCTGATGATTACTGTTGTTAAGTGCCGTAAAGTCGGTACTGACTCATAATGACCCTGTATAGGGTTTCTGAGGAGTCGGTGGTGGGTTTGAACTGCTGAACTTGCAGTCAGTAGTCCAGTGCTTATCCCACAGTGCCACATCAGGATTCCATATACCCAGAATCTAGAGATCCCAATGTCTACAGATAACTGAAGTTATTTATCAACTCTTCATGGCCCTGAACAAAAAAAAAATATAACTGTCAAGGGCCAGCAAATGAAAATACCTTAATGTGAAGATAGGAAGCTATTATTCCTCACTGACATTTATACAATCATACCCAGTAAGAACATATATATTTTCTTGGTAATTGCTATGGTAAGTAGATAATGGGAGTCCTGGAACTCAAAA